TTTTTTTTTTTTTTTTTTTTACAGAATAACATCACCCCTGCTGCTTATTGCTGTTGCAGCAAGTCTTGGTGCATGCTATATTTTGTCTCTGAAAAACAATGAAAGAAAAGTAATATTATTTGGCAGAGAAATTAGTTTGGCACAACAATATGGGTTGATAGCAATATGTTCTATTCCAGTTTTTTATTGGGCTGGTGCAGGAGCTGCATTGTTTTGGGTACTAGGTAAGTGTGTTTTGGTGTTGTAATTTGATTTTGGTTGTGTAATTGAATTGAGGTTATTATCCATTTGCCTTTTGAAAAGTTTTGATGTAAACAAACCAATGAAATCATTGCAGTTCACTGCGCCTCCGATTAGAGAACACTTTGCACACTACTTTTGATAACAAAAGGAGCAGTCCCTGCCAGTTAAAATTCATGAAGATCTGTCTTACAAATTTCATTCAAAATATGAATGTCTTGCAGAAACATGTAGAAAGAACTTGCGTTGATACCAGGGAGAACAGACTGTTAGTTATCAGTGGAGATCTAAATTTTCTCCAAGTTCAGTGTGAAGGAGAAGTGACAGAGAGGCAAGGGGTGCAGACTGTGATAAACCAGCTAGTTTGGACAAATAACCTTGGGTAGGTAGTAAAGAAGATCAGAGATAATGCGATATAAGACATATTTTTAATGCGACCAGAGGGATCCATTATTAGTTGTGACATAGTTCCAGGTATAAATGACCATTCGGCTGTGTGTCTAAAAGTGGACTGTACCCTGCACAGACCTGATCATGAGATTTACTTGTACCGTGAGGCTGATGTGGACAATTTACAAAAGTATTTAGTTGATCATTAATCCACGTGGGCATGTTTTGGTTGTTCTTTAGTGGAAGTGTGGAATCATTTTAAGAAAATCTTTAATAAGGGTTTGGATTTCAGTATACTGTTTAAAATCATAACAATAAATCTCGATCCAGAATATTATAATAATCGGATATGAAAGTTAAAAAGCAAAGCAAGGCAGGCATATGGAAAAAGAAATATCAGTGATAAACATTATGAGAACTTTAAGATACTATCAAGAGAACTATTAGAAGGGAAAGTATTAGCACAGGAAGGGTTTTTGGAATCTATCCTTACTGATGAAAATAAAATTGAGGATGGGGTGGGCAGAAAACGTAAACTATGTAGTTTAAAAGGTGTGAAAGGCTTGTGATTAGAATACTTAGGAATGGAAGTGAAAATCAAAGGAATTAGGGTACACTTCTCTAGTTTGGGTGATATTGGATTATGGCTCCATATGTTGGAACCTATATCATTTAGGGCAAATAAAATCTCTCGAAAAAGTACAAAAATATACTGCAAAATTTGATGGGAAGGGAAGTTCAAATGTAATTTTATATCATGGAAATCTTTGGAAAAACACAGAGAGAAATTGGATCTTTGTGCATTATTCAAATCAATAAGAGGTGATTGTGCATGAGGGAAGTGCGGGCAAGATAAACAAAACGAACATTCATCATGTGAAAGGATCATGGCTCTAAACTTCAGCAAAGAAAATATGGAAAGTAGGTAAATTCTCATTTGTAAACAGAACACAAAATTGGAACAAATTACCTGCAACTGTGCTGGAGAATTTCTCTCAGAATGTTGAAAATTTTAAAATTAGATTAAATAAATTGTACATTTTAAAATATGATACTTTTTTTGTATTTATTATTTTAGATTAGGTCAGCTTTAGCATGATACTTTTAATACACTAGTTTTGTAAAATTGTATTAAGTTATATGTAAATATTGCCATCTTTCTTTCAATGTTTCAATGTTGTGTATTTTCTTGTTTATTCAATCTTTCTTTCAATGTTGTGTATTTTTAGTTACTACTTAGAAAACACTGCCACCGGAAATATTCCATGTATTCCTTAGTAGCAAAATAAATATTCTATGCAACTTCCTTTTTGACAATAAGTTTTCATCAGGGGAGGCAGGCATGACTCTTTAAGTCCATTGGAAATTATTTCCACGCGTGTTTAATTACTAAGTGAACAGGCACACTCTTGAATGTACTAAAATGCTCAGAGGAGGGTATCTGAAGGTGGACCATTGGCCACATCACCAGCAGGGTATGCTGGCTGTCCCATGCAGCTGAATGTTATGACACAGCAAATTTGTTGGATTGAAGGTGGGGCTTGTCTGGCAGTTGCTCATCTTATTGTCATACATCACGTTCAGAAGCAATGAACTCTATTTATGAAAGTGTTACTGGCATGAACGCTGATTAATTTTTTGGTAGTCAGCAGAAGTGAGTTCCTAAAAGGGAACAATTTAGTTTAACATCAAAAACTATAGTAGATCTCTTACTGCTAACCAGTGGGAAATAAATGAGCACTCTTGTAGTTGCTTACATCAGAATATTTGTAGGAGTGAATGGATAATTGTATTATTTGCAAATCCACTTACAATCTAACCATACCAATGAAATAAGTTCAAATTAATAAAATAGGAAAGGGAGAATGTCACAGAGGACATTTGAAAATCTACTCAAACTGTAAGATGCCTACTTTTTTAAAAATTAGTCTTAATTGACGTTACAGATTTTCAAAACCTTCCAAAAAATCTGTAATACAATTAGAGCAGCAAAGGCAACTAGAAAGAACATTGCTTCATCACTGAATGAATTGTCGACATATAAAGTGTTTTGATGATTTAAATCATTTTATTGGAATCCCTGATGAAAATCAGAACTTTGTTTTACAGTTTGATGTCTTTACCAATGTTTTTATCAAAATGGTAAAAACCCCTTTCATTACCACATTTGTATTCTAATTCTCGCATCACTTTACTAATTCTGTATTGTATTAAGTACACAATGCAGATATGCAAACTATTATGGATTACCTGAAATTATTACGGAACATGCATTCTCCAGTGTAATGCTCAGAAATAAAAGTATTTTGATTTTATGATTTTAATCGAGTAATTATAGTTCACTTATAATAAGCATTAGTCAGCATAATAAATATTTTCAAGGCTGATCCGGGTACCATAGACAAGGATAAGAAAGATCTAGTCAAGAAAGACTAAAACGTGCTTCCAAACAAAACAAAGAACAGTTATTCTGATGTAAAATAAAATTTATTTCACTAAAATGTAACTCCTTAATCCCAGGCATTGAATCTACCACTGCACTATGAAAAGTATTTTTAACAGTTTTATTTTCAAAGATTGATGAATGATGAGCTTTTCAAAGATACTTGAATTGTTTTTAAAGTAGCATTACTTGCTATTTAAAATATTTTCTCATATTAACATTTTTGGAGAAAATTATTCCAATTTTGATTAAATTTATTAATTTTTAATAAAAGCAAATTGTTTTCAAATAATTTTTGGAGTAATTTCTATGTTGTACTTACCTGGAAAATTTTACTGTAAGGAAATTGAGATTACATAAGTTAAAAAAATGACTGGTAACTGTCTCAATGAATACTTTATTAGCTGAAATAGGATGTTATCTTAGAGCAATAATTTTTTTAGTTAATTGATTTCTGATTGTATGTTTGTTGTAAATGTTTCAAAATTGAAAATGAATGATTCAAAGCATTGCTGAGATGTAATGCAATTCATAACATTGTTTGGAAGGGCTGCACTGTAATGTTCAGGGCAGTAGACTTTTTGGCAGCTTCTTCCGCTACCATTAATGATGAAAAATAGTTTGAGTTGATTCAAATAATTTCCAAATGTTGTTGGTAATGTGTGACAGTGAATTAAGCCATCAGACAGGAGAATGATGTCTATTATTCTGCTAAACCCCCACGTAGGCCACTGTTGGAATCCTGTTGCTATGTTTTCATTGTGCATGTACAGAACTTTCAAATTAATTTATGAGCTTTATAATGTTTTGCAATTATGATAATTGATGTTTATAATTTATATTGATTGATCAACGATTAATTATTGATCATGAACATACAGATTTGAAATAAAGAATCCATAATATGAAAATCAATTTAAAAGTGTGAATAATTTCTACTTCAAAGCGTGAAAATTGAAACAGAGTTGGATAAATTCTTATTGTATGTCAAAATCATTGTTCAAAATTGTTTTACTTAGTTTCACCTTGAGACAATTTTTTAAATTCTACTAGGCTATGTAGATGCTTTAAGGGAGAGACATTGGGAAGCCTCAAAGAAAACAGATTCAGTTGACTGGTGGGCAGGTTTTCAATCAAGTTTTCATCATAAACAAGAAAATATTTGACTGTCCAAAAGTAACAATAAATAATATAATGTACAACAAGAACTCAATTCGTTGGTGTATGGTATGAAGAAAACTTAAACTGGAACAGATAATCTAAGTAGAGAACTCCAGTAAAGTATGTTTTTCTATTAGAATTATAGAACCCATGGTAACAAAAGGCATATTCAGAATTGCTCATTTTCATTCACTGATGTCATATAGAATTTCATTTTGGGGTATCTCATCAAAAGTCCAATAATATTCTTCTTATTCAAATTCAATTAAAATACTATCCAACATTTCTCACACCATAAAATGCCAGCAAATATACTTAAAGGATTTAAAGATACTATCACTACCATGCTTATCCATATACGAAAGCATTTTACTGAGTCAATGTAATTTACGAAAGTACCGGACCAACTCCTTGATACACCTTATTCAACAAATAGATCAAAATTCTAGATAACACATCCTTATGAACAGAGTGCCAACTATTTTATGTTTTTTAGAAAACACATGTACAATCATCTTCTTAAGATATCGGAAATGCAGAAAATTTAAAAACAAAATTTGTGAATTTCCTCTTTCAGCAATATTTTTACTCGGTAAATGAATAACTCTCAGAAGGTGCAACACTGTACATTGTGTTGTGTGTGATAACTTTTAGTAAACAGTCTTTAACACAGTAGATGCTACTTGCATCATCGTAATTGAATATCTTATATTGTCTTTAAATGATTGATCATTATCATATCTTTCTGCAAATTTAAATATTTGTAGGTATGTATTTTTTATGATTACTTATTACGATATAGTTAGTAATTTGACAAATTACCTATGTTGAACAAAATTATTGTTTAAAACATGATATTTGACCTTAAAAATTCTAATTTTCCTTCCAGGTGCATCCTTTTTTGTTGTAACACTTCATGCAGCATTGTACAACATTGATGCTGTTTTAACTCCTGAGGAGGAACGTTTTGACCTAGTCATGGAAAACGTATAATTTTGTGTAATATATTGTACATATATCTACATTTAACTTTTATGTGAGATAATAGAATAGTGTTGGCTTTTACCAACTAATGGAAGTTTTAGTTTTATGTAATATGTGTTGTATACTTTTATAACATATCATGAATCAAGAAAATCTTATTAATTTTGTACTAAATGTGAACTAAGACCCTTTCTGACTCTTCAATTCATGTTCAAAGACTTACTATGTAAGAAACTACGTGAAAAAAAAAATTTTTTTGAGCATTGTAGTGTTTTAGTAAAGTTGGAAAGAATCTGTGGATTGAGAGGGTAATACACCAAAGCCATTTGAATTGTGATTCTCAGGATTGTTGAAAGGAAGTTTTTATTTACCAAAATGTGAGCCTTGTTCCTTGAAGACAGAAGTCTGCAATAAAATATGTTACCAACAAAACGGCCTATCCTGTAAAAATTGGTCATGTTTCAATTTTTAAATCCATCCCGTGTTTGTTAAAAATATAGCAAGTTGTTTGCATGTTATTGTTGCTGCAAAATAGGTAAAAAGCAAATGCAGTCTTTATACTTTTACTATCACAGTCTCCTGAAATTGTTGTTCTTAGGCCTGCTGGGAAACGTGGAGCTGTGTAACCTCAAGCTCAGAGTTCAGGTTCAGATATATGGACATTTGTCTGAAATAATGATTTTTGCATATGAGAATATCTGGAGTGACTGTTTTGTTTGCTTGGGTATACAGATATTTGTAAGTTATTTCCAATAAATATTCAAACTTTTTAGGTGTAGGAAAGTTGTCTTGATCTTATAATTGTACTTCCTTGGACTACTAAATCCTTGGAGCAGATCTAATTCAAATTTAATTTAATTTTGTATTGTGGTTATTTTTTATGAAAATGAATAGATAATTGCTGTAAAAGTATTGCATTTTTGTTTCTTTATTACAAATTAATTTGGTGCTGATTAATTCTTTACTTTGATTTTGAACTTCATGCATTATCTATACTAGCAAATGTGAATCCTCGTTTTTTTGTAATTATTGGATTTCATCACTCTCAAATTGCTCTTGTAGTTGATTGAAGAGAATTTTAAATAATCCTTTGTGGTTTTGTCTGTATTAATATGATAAAATGTTTTGATAAAATGCTTGCTTTCCATTTTCTTGATTATTATAAGATATTGTCATCTTTCAATGCTGTACCGTTGCCAACGTAACCTTTCTGCTGTCTTATTATTTTCACCTACAAACCAGTCACATAAGGACATTGTTTTCAGATCTTTCAGTGTTTCATTCAGTGAAGCAATAATATGTATGAAGTGGTGAAATTATTTAGATATTTCTTAAGATTAAATTAAAAATTAAATACATTTATATTTATAAATGTTGCTTTGTGTAAACACAATGATGAAAGCTTATTACGAGGAGGAGGGGTTGTCTTTTTTGCAATTTTTGGTGATTTTGACAAATAAGTCATTTTTTACCTTTCTTTGTCATTTTTAATGCATTTTTCTCTGATTTCATCAATTTTAATATAATTTTTATGGTACTTCAAATAATATTTACAAGAATGCAACAATGTTCTCCCCAGAATTCCTGAGTACCTATTCCTGGTAGCCTATTCGATTCCTATGCTCAGAAGTTGTAATGTCAGCATTTGTGAGTATGTAATCTAAGGTTCCTGTGATGCCTGTCAGCACCATTGGTGGTTCAACTGATTTCAGTGTAACTAAAAACAGGTTTTCTGATGAACATTTCAAACTAAAAGTTTGAAGGCTTAGTTCACTTGAATGAATAGGAGCGTTGCCCTTGCAAGCTGCTCTTCATTGAGCTTGGAATCTTACAACTTACCTATATATTTAAGAACCTGTAATATTTGTCAAAAGTAACTTTCTTAATGGTGGGAACATATTTTCATGCAATACTGATATTTATAATTACAACACACATAAAAATCACGTTCATCAAATGTCAGTATGAACAGCTCACTATCAAAAATCCACATACAATACATGTACGTTACTTTACAATGCACGGCCAGATGACATTAAACAATTGAAGTCCGTCCACAAATTTAAGTTAATTATAAAATCTTTTCTGCTGCATAACTGTTTCTATACAGTTAGACACTATACTGATTATCAGAAAGAAAAATAATGTTTATTTTAACAAAACAGTGATACATAATGAATTAGTTTACATTTGTATTGTATAATTTTTTTTAAAAGACTTAATATGTTTGTAAAAAATAATGTACTTAAGCTTCCGGGTCAATGGCCCCTCATGTCAATCAGGTTTTTGTCCAGTTTCCCTGATCCATTGAGCAAATGCTGAGATAGCCTCTTGTTTTGCTTCTGTATGTAAATGTAGCTTCACTATGTGCTCGTTTTGTTTAACTCTTCTTTTGCTTGCAGTGGTAGGAGTAGAAGGGCGAGTTGCTATTTCGTTGGCAATGCAGAAAAATCATACTTGCAATTCGTGTACCAATGCAAATAAGTTTTCTAAAACTCAGAAACGAAAATGACTATTTTTCAAATCTTGCTATTAATTACTAAAAATTAATTTTTATTTATGTTAAACTTTTAATCATCTTTCAACTATTTTTAGTTATAATGACGGGAAGGGATTCTGGAACTCAAGAAAACGTGCGCATATAATCTTTTCCCCCTATGTCACATACAGTTTTACTGTTTTTTGTTTTTTTCTAACTGAATAAATCTAAATCTAAGATGTCTTGATTACGTCAGTAATGTATACATCAGCTTGTGTTCATCCGAACTGGTTTTGATCACAATATAAATCTTTTTCTTTGTTTTTAGGGCACGTTAAAAACTTGTCAAGAGCATTTTATTGATCATTTTTGGCGGTGTTTTTAGTCGTCTAAATCTGCTCCTACTTATTGTCTCCTATATTATTTTAGTAATATGCATACCTTTGGCGACTCTTACACACAACCAATCTTTATAAATGAGGTCTCTAAAGAAAGAGAATATCATGGAAACGACGAATTGCACTTTTACTATATGAATAATTTGTTTTAAAAAACGTATCTAAATATTCATGTAAATGCAACCCGCAGCACTCATCTAAATCGTTAAACAATTCCTAAGCAAAGTGTTTTAGCGCCTTAAGAGTAAACATTTTAAGGCCAAAGGCATCAAAGAAACATTCATCACATCGTAATCTATAGGATAAGATAATCTTGGACATTCTAATGAAACATGCACACTTATCGGTACTACCAATATATTTCATCCCTTGGTGATGGTGATATCTTTGGGATGTCATGTTTAGGAGGCTTAGATTCCTTTATCTTATATTATTTATGCTTTCTGTACGTGGTTTGCGTACAGTGTTATGTTTATTTGCGTAATTATTAATTCAAGATTTGCTCTCGCAGCAACAACTAGAAATACTACTAATAGTTGCTTGCTTCTGATTGTTTTTTATGCGTGTAGTGAAAACATTCATTTAATGTTTTGCCGCGGTCTACAAGTGCTCTGTACGTAATTGTGGAGGGATGTGGGTGTACAGTGAAGTCATGTCGTGTTAGTTTTGGTTTGTGTTTTTTTCCTGTCTCAGTATTTTTGTTATCAGCAGTGATTAGATGAAACTTTCAAGTCAGCGTGTTCAGTCACATAGCTTTCTGAAGAGTAAAAATCTTTTTTTAAAATGTTTTTGCGACTATCACGAAAAGCAAAAAGTTAATTGGTAAATAATATTGAATAATTACTAGAACTATTTTTAAGAACGTATTGTGAATTGTTCCAAGAAATGTCTCGGTAATAATTTGAAAGTATATTTTTTTCAACACCAATTGCATTGTTTTTTATTCTTGATATTGTGTTAATACAGTTGGTAGAGTTCTCGCAAGGGTACGCAGAGTTAGTAGGGAAAAAGAGTGCTATGGCACAACACGAACAAACGTTTTAAATTAACTTAAGTAAAATAGCTTGAAATAAATGGACAACAAAAATCAAAACACGCAAACCAACAATACTACGTGAGTGAATTTAAAAAAGCAACCAAATTTAAAATTATGGAAAGAATAGCACAAGTGTCTCGACAACTTTTAACAATCACAATTCAGACCCACGATTTAAATATTGGCGGTATGTGGAAGTCTGTACATCAAGCTGTAAACGCATATTGTAAATAATACACTGTTTGATATTAAACTTAATGTGTTGGCTCACTAAGATAATCAATACGTAAAAACGTTTGAGCAACATTCCCTTACACCTAAGTGAAGTCTAAGCATGCTGAATTGTTTCTGTTGGTAACTTGTTTGAAATCGTATTTATTACTTAGAGGTGAATATATTTGTTTTTGACTGGGAATTGCTTTTCATGGGGGTACTTAAGAACGCAGAAAATAATTTTTTTAGTGTACAAATGATAGAAATAACTTTTCAATTTTCGCACCCCAGCAAGCTGCATCTGCCCCTGCGAAAACACAGATAATAAAGCGTTGAAGTGCATCCTCAGTATTAAACGTCGGAAACAAAAGTCGCTCACAGCACTTCAAGTGGCGTGGCAAAGAACCACATAAACCGCCCGCCCAGCGCAGCGTATGAAAGTTAATTTCACTCAATCGTTTTCGCGAAAGTTAATGGATATTAATAGGTTACATTCTACTGCAATTTTTCTAAAATATATTCATTATCTATTTCCGTAATGCACTTGGGTAAGGTCATAACTAAGGAGAGTCATCTAATTACGTGGTAATGGCAGAAATGAAGGAATCAAAATGAATAACAGAGAAATATATAAATAAATCATTGCCTTTATTGAACAATTTATATTAAATAATATTCATTACAGACTTCAACATTTTAAATTTTTTCACCTGTTCACGGCCTTTTGTATATTTTCTTTTAGTTTGTATTTTCTGTTTTTCATGTATTACATATTTGTATATTAAAAACGTACTCACTTTTTAAAAATAAGTTCTTCGGATAAATGCCCTTAACAAAACAGGTGATTGTATTAGGTGATTTGGAATTAGAGCAAAACCTTCTCTCCAAATTATTTAAATGGGAATTTGTTTTCTAGAAATGAATACAAATATTCATGAACATTCTTTAAAAACATTACATTAAATAACAAATCATAATAAATCATTACATTACAAAAAAATACTGTTTTCCTTATAATGTTATGTGAATACAGTAGGCTACAAATTTATACAAATAATCGTGAATGACACTTTAAATTAAATGCTAACCTCTATATTGCGAAACAATCTTGTATTCCACTAAGACAAGCAAATCGAAATGGAGAAAACTCGAAACTGTTGTGATTGTTTCCGCTAAAACAAAATATCTTGAAATGCGAAACACACACATGAACGCACAGAACCAACACCACCTAGATATACTAGATAGTATCTAGGTGGTGTTGACAGACGAACTTAGGGCCGGTTTCACAAAATCAGAATCATAGCTGATTGATCCGAGTTTGATCCGGATCAACTTCCGTTTGATCCGCGTTTCGTTTTCTACGTCACGTTGAAACGAAATCATAGTCTTGACTCGGATTAAATTTGACTCGCAATTGATCGTCGCGAGCGGTGGATAGCGGCAGATTAGGAGTTATTCTCGTCTGGTCCGTCTAGCTATTCCAGTTTCGTGCTTTTTTTAAGTAAACACCTGTATTGGACTAGGGAATTCGGTAATGGACAGTATTCGTTAAGAAGTGGATTACGCGTAATATTTGTTTGAGCAACGTGTTTTTTAAGATAGTATTGTATAATAAAAAGTAGGGTTAACACAATTTGAAGTGTTAGAAGTTCTCGGTATTGGGAAGTAACATTAAATATTTTTGGTCTTCAGATTAATGTAATGTTAATAAGTGCATTATAAAAAAGCATTTTGTGGTATCTGTATTCCAATGACAGTGGGCAGTTTTTATTGAATACTTTTTTTTAGTGTAGTAATACTTTCAATTTTTGTTCTTGTTAGGGTAATTGTGCGTGAAAATAGATTATGTTTGAATGTGAGCTCAGTAATATTATTATTATTATTATATGATTATGAAGTTCATTGAGATTTATTGCGGGGAGGACGACCACGAGTAATTCCCACACAAGAAGCGATTATTTTGAAATGTGAGAAGAGCATTAAACTTTCTTTGTATTTTACTCTTAAGTTTCTAGTAATCTCATTTAGCTTGGAGGAAATTGGGGGGCGTAGTGCTATGCATTATTTTCGCACGTCAGTGAATCCATCACGCGAAGAGAAACACACCACAGACGGAAGAAATAAATCAAAACAACTCGTTTTTCTACAGTCTGACAATGCGAGATACCCACAATGCATTCGCAAATTGTTGGCCAACACGCCGCATTTTCACGACTGCTCACGAATCATGGGATCTGGATTAACTTCGATGTCTCAAACTGTTTGGTGAAAACGGCACAGAGATCAAAGTTCCGGCCTTGACCCGCGGATCAGGATATGAAACTCGGAAATCAACTACGATTTTGATCCTGTTGTGAACGGCCTAAAGTACTTCATGAACGTAACCAACGGCAATATGGTTTCCCTCTTCGCATGTGGAAAACGCATGCAGGCTGGATGTGACGTACAAATCGCAAGCGAAAACCACTAATGCAATCATTTGCTTGATATTCTTCACACTAGCGTCCAAGTGGCTGGCAATGTGTTGCCAATATCCCTAGGGGCCGTTTTCACAACAGGAATCAGAAGATGATCCCGAGTTGATCCGGACCAACTTAGTTTGATCCGTTGTACGTTTTCTCCACGCACTTGACACGAATCAACGTGTCTGACTCGGATCAAATTTGACTAGCAATTGATCCGTCGCCGGAGCGGTGGATCACGGCAGATCAGGAGTTATTTCTCGTCTTGGTCATCTAGCTTCCAGTTTTCGTATTTTTTTAAGTAAATACCTGTAGTTGACTTAGATTCAGTATTGGAAGTATTCGTAAGAAGTAGGATTGCGCGTATATTTTTGTTGAGCAAATGTTTTTTTTTAGATAGTATTGTAAAATAAAGTAGGGTTAACAAAAATTGTAGGTTATAAATTCTCGGTATTGGGAAGTCAAATTTAAATAATATTTGGCTTCAAATTAGTGTAATTAATAAGTATCATTAGTAAAATAGCATTTTGTGATATCTGTATTGCAATTGGCGTGGAATAGTTTTATTGAATACTTTTTTTTTAGTGTAGTAATTTTTTCAATTTTTGTTCTTGTTAGGTTAATTTGTGCGTAAAAATGGAGTATGTTTTCGAATGTGCATCAATAAATATTTATTATTATTATTATTATTATTATTATTGAATCATTGAAGATTTTTGTGGGGAGAGACACCACGAGTAATTCCAAAAAAAGCAATTATTTTGAAATGTCAGACGACCATTAAAACTTTTCTTTTATTTGCTCATTAAGCTTTCGAATATTTCTCTTTCAACTGGAGAGAAATTGGGCGTAGTCTATGCATTCTTTTCCAACGTAGATGAATCATCACGAAAGAACACTACCAACGCAACAGAACACCACGACGGAACGAAATGAAATTCAAAACAACTACAGCTGACCGCGAAGAATACCACAATGCATTGCAAAATTGTTGCCAACGCGCGCATTTTCACGACTGCTCACGAATCATGGGATCCGGATCAACTTCAAAGTCCCAAAAAGTGGTGAAAAACGCACAGATCAAGTCGGCCTGATCCGCGATCAGGATCACGAAACTGGAATTCACTACGTAATTTGATCCTGGTTGGTGAAACCGGCCCTATCTCACCTTCACCCCCGTGTGCATAACTCCCTCTGTTCCTCATAACAAATCCACGAAAGTTAAATGATTTTGCAGAGTAGGGTTGTACATGGCCGATCCTGTATTTTCGTATGAACAAGTTTACTTGGCTTTCTCAGGAGTAAAAACCTTTTCTAATATTTTTGTGACTAGTATTTTAGTGTTAGTATAGTAGCACCAATATCATGAAGTAATTTAGCTGAAAAATTATTAACCTTTCCGACACATGTGAACGGTTTTAACAATGCATGACCTTGTGTTTCGGCCACGTGATTAATCTATTCCGATCTGAACATTGCCTTCGTAAGTGCCCCGCTTCTCTACACTTAAAGCAAGTGGCCGCCTTAGGCCTTTCAAATTCAGCTGTGTGATCGATCTTCAATTCCGATTGTTTTGTGACTCGCAGCATACCTTCCGTCGCCTGGTCCACCCTTTTACCTGCGTTTTCTCGTTGCCCGGAAACCTAGAGAAATTACGTTTCCAGCCTGCTCGGTTGTTCTCATAGCTATCGAGTTTCTTTGCTAGTTCGAAAGACGCTGCAAGATCTCCCCACTCATCAATAAAATCGTCGCGCATTTCTGCCCCAATTGTGAAAATTAGTTAATTAAGAAGTGTTTGTTTCTAAAAGCTCAATTTTTTGTTCATTAACTTTGTGCTTTTGCTACGAATTGTGTCAAATGCCCTTGAGACACAGATTCGTTTCCAAGCGCATTCGGGGCCAAGTGTTATTCAGAAAGGTCAGTATTACTTAAACTGCTGTATGTATTTAAATTTCTATTATCTTGCATGTTTAAAAATAGTACTACAGTCATATATCTGCATAGTATGAATAGTACCATGGTTGGATAGGTAGTCGGCTTATACTCCGATTTTCGCAACTCTGTCCCTGGCAGATATCAGCTGTTGACAGTTTCATCCAATCGGGAGCTTGAACGTTACCATAATGATGTCACTATGGTAACGTTTAAGCTTCAAATTAGATGAAACCGTCAATAGCTAATACCTGCTAGAGGCAGAATTGCATAAATTGCAGTATAGCAGGTCGACGTAGTCTTGGAATGCGCAGACATCCTGCTTATGGGAAACACATGGAAAGTGTGACTGTTTTCAGTCGAGTTCGTGGCATTCCCAGTTCCTGCAGCATCGCATGAATCTTTTTATATATGGGTGGAATCACCCTTTTCTCTATTAAATCCCTCCAAAATCCGTGCCTGTCTTGCTCATGCTCTGACCGGTAACTCTATACAGGTGTTCAGAAGCTCCCGGTACCCTCCCCCCAGAAGGGGGAGGGGCGTTTAAAGATGTTTTTTGCATTTATCTCTATAACTATCAATCCTACTGATAATTGTTCTCTATAAATTTAAAGTAGACAACATTTTCTTAAAAAAAATTCCTTCAAGGATTTGTTGTCAAATCATCCCCGTTAAAGTTATAAGCTTGACAAGTTCTTGTTTTTTACTCTTGGCACATACAAGGTCACATTAATTCAAATTTGGCGTACTTGCAATTTAATCATTTTGGCAATTCTCAACATTTTCTTCGAGCGTGTGCGTGTGCACAGATTTGACGATATTCCTGACATCCAACGAAACGTGACGAGGCTCTTAGAACTCTATCCCAAAAGAAAACATATTGCAGTTTCCAATACATGTATAGCAGTACACCAGAGAGTATAGATGATGTATAGCAGATAGTATAGCAGTATAGCAGATGTAGCAGTACACAGTTATGAGAGGTGACTATTTTGAAGGTCAGTAAGGTAACTTACGTTAATATTTTATCTACGTTAATGTTACAGGACTCTTCACCGAACTTTGTCAGAGATTGCATCATTACCAAAAATATAAACTGATCCCTTGATCAATTATCTTGAAATCCAGAGATAAAAGTTTGCACGGCCCAAATTCGGCTAATTTCGACCCCAGACACTCAAGACTGCTGTAACTTACAGATGTACCACCGAATTATGCTAAACGCGTTTAATGATGCGCTGTGTTGCCATCACACGGAAGCAACTGCAAACAAACGGGTCAATGCAATGTATAAACGACAACTGCTGATAACATTTTTTGGTCCATATAGCCCATGAACGGTATTTAACGAACAAAAAAATATTTTCGACAACGAACAGAAAGATATTTTCAAAAGAGCCGCAAAACGTGGGAATGCATAACATCACTCGCATCCATTGAGGCTACGCCATTGCTGCATCAAAATATCCGTTTTCCAAATTTTCTCAGCAAATAAGGTGTTGCTTTAAAGCTGAAAGTCCCCGATGACTGCACATGTTTGTATATGTTATATAAATATTTATAACATAATTTTTTTAAAGTCACTACAGACATGTGTAAATTATTAGAATAATTTATGAATTTGGTGTTTTTCCCTTATTTAGTGGAGAAAGCACTTTACATCTGAATGTAAAGTTTGTTTCAACCTGCTATTCCGTCTTTGGTTCATTCTCTTCACTGAATGTCTTTGGGATATCCGAGGATAATTTATTTCTCTAAAATGATTGAGGTGCTGTATATCAAAACAGCTGATGCTGTAGCAATTGTTGAATTGTTTTTTCTCGTCAAGTGTTGCGTTTCTATGCCAGAATTTAAGCCTAGGAGTGTTTGAGAGTTTTTGAAGCGGTGAACTGAAGATGCTTCTAATTACAAAGCTGCAGTTATGGGAAAAAAATACATACTTTTCGGTCTGTAAAAGGGCTTTGACTGAATATTTAATAAAGAAAGCCAGATATTTCCAATAAAATAATGCTAGAAAATTGAATCTTTCACAAGTATTGGTTCAGTTCTGCATTGAAATTAGACGAGACCACAAATGTAAGTGAAAATGTGGTTAAAACCCAAACTGAGTACTCATATGCAACAAAAATTGATTCAAAAGGCTAGATGAATAGAAGGAACACCAGTAAGAACTTGAGAAATCAACTTAAATCGAATGGAGTTTAAATATCCTATCAATTGTAAGAAGAATGTGTCACAGGAAGTCCTGCAAGGTCAAGAAATAAAGTAAAAATAACTCTTACCATGGCTAAGAAATGGCTGAAATGGGCAAAAGAACGCAGAATGCTAATATCAGTTGAGAAAACGGAAGAAGAAAGATATATTTCATTATTTACTGTTTTCTAACAGGTAACTTCAGAGAAAGTGGAATTTTTCAAACTTTTTCAGAAATTCATTACAGAGACTACGGATTATATTCTGTAGTTTTCAAATATTATTTTGAAAAGTCATTATAATTAGTGCTAATTATCTTGCAGGTAATATTGCCAGACAAGTCCATATTTTCTGTGTCCGAGAAAAGCGCCCGTACATGAGAATTGCCCTTGATGAGGCGTTTTCTCCAAATTGTATCACTCACATAATCAAAAATTCAGTTATAATATGGAGTTGCATGTCAGTTCATGGATGTGACAGATGAGACACTGTTGAGGGCCCAATTGAGCAGAATTTTACAAAAAGGTGCGTCAAACCCGCCTGTTGCCTCAGATCAGAGATTGGTTTCCTGAAAAAGATTGCATTTTACGCACGATGGAAAACCATGACATTATACCAAGTCTGTTGAGAAATATTTAGTGAAAAAATAAAAGACATTGCCTTGACCTGGTAATAGCTCAGACTGCAACCCAATTGGGGGGGTCAAGTTTATAGCAAATTGTTAAGTCAAGATTGAAGAAAACAATACCAACCAGAATTGGCTTTATTGTAAACATCATAGACATACAGTTTCATGATGAACAAATTCAGAAAATGTGCAAGGACCTTGTGGAAAGCATGCCAAAAGGATACAAATGGTTATAAAGAACAAAGGAATGCACCCGAAGTTGTAAAGAAGGCATCGTGTATTGATAAATTGTGATCAATATATTTCAAAAGTAAATTATGGTTTGTTTTTTCAATTATTCTAATAACTTCCACACGTCTGTACATTAAGCAGAATCTGGCGGATAAGTAACCAGTTCTGGCGGTACCATAGAAGTGCAAGCATGGGGACCATACCCACCCCTGAAAGGGATAGAAGACTACTTGCTACCTTCCTTTCTTGACAAAATTCATTTCAATATTTAAGTTAGAACTGTGGTAATAAATAAAGGAAGGTAAGAACTTTTACGTCATGAAAATTCTTTCCCCTACCCAGTGTTATTTACTTTGTTCAATAAGCGGGTACTACTTCCTTCCCAAGAGTCAACCGCATCAATCTGTCTAGGAGTTGAGGTCTGGGAATTTTGGACCCTTGCCTCCACAAACCTCATAAGCATCCTTGGGGATGGATCTGGTAGAACCTTTGAGGCACAGCTGGGCTCTTGTTGTCAATAAATACTTGGGTAATAAAATTAATACAAGCTAGTTTTACTTACCATTTTTTTACGTAAAGTATTTCAAAATATAACAAACTAATACAGCATGAAACCAATTAAAACACATTGTACAATATAGATGCCATGGAGCTATTCACATACTAGGAATAGGTCAGAATGCATTGCAAGAATATGAAATAAAACTGATGTAATACATCAATAATCGCTTTTTGATTGTAAATTTTTGTAGCTGCACAATACCTAGCATGAAAGCAAGTATTTTAAAAACATAAGAAAATAAGAGAATTAATGTAAGGGTCAAAAGAACTTAATCATTTTACATTACAGTATTTAAAAATGCATGATGGACAGTTCAATTTCCTAGACTGTGAATGTCATGTTCCATTGGCATCCATTGCTGTTTCTTCTAAGGCAACTGTAGCTCCTGTAATATTGTAGTGACTAGAGAAAATTCACTCCAATGCCGAACTGCACCCCAGACACGGGCTGATCACCTCTTCTAATTTGCACAGGTATGCAATAGTTCAGTTCTACACGTGCCATTTGACCGAGCCTCAGTGCTAAACCCAACCCATAAGCCATTCGAAAATCCTTTGAGAGAATTTTCCAATTTTCATGATAATCATCACCTTCAAATAAAAGAATATGATGAGTTTTTATTCTCACATTGTATCAAATGAAGTGAACAAATTTATAAAAAATGTCAGTCATACCTAAGTTGAAATTTCCAACATTTCCAGCATTAACAAATATGTGTGTTCTAAAAAGATCAGCAAAAGCACCTCGTGTCGACAGGAAAGGTAACGGAGAATACAGATGAACTGCAGTAGCCCAGTAAGCCTTGAATGAAAGTTCTCATTTTACTTCATTTAAAAATAAATAAATAAAATTATTACTAACATTTTTGAAGATAGTGGCAAAACATTAATATTATGTCCATACACCTTAATACGTACAACATACCTCAATTTCAATAGGATGCCAGAATATCTATTATTTTTGGTTATAAAACAACATTGCTAAAATGCAACTTACATCAGCTCCTACAGCAAAACCATCACTGTGTGGCCCAGCACCTCGAAAATCAAAGCCTCTCAAGTTCAATGGGCCACCTAGGAAAAATTGATCACATATACTAACTATTTGGTCATTCGTTAATCTCTTCAGAAAACCTGCTTGTATTGCACCTTGAAGAACCTGTAGTACATTCAAAAAATTAATTAAAAAAAAAAAAATCTTATAATTTAGAATGCATATAAAGGTAACACACCACATCATTCAGGACAGGCCAGTTTCCTTGAAGTGTCAAATCATTTTTAAAAAATCCCACATTGCCCCCAAGGCCTGCAAATTCAGTAGTAAGTTGAAAATATGCTCCAGTAGATGGAAAAATTGGTTGGTCTCGCCGGTCAACACATAGTATGTGACGTAATGATGATTTTAGAGTAGGTCCAGACTGTTCTCGCACTTCGAATGCTGCTGATCTAGTTAAACATGAAAGGTCACGCCAAGATGCTTCCCACTGCAGATTATGCTTCACCTGCAAGAAGAGAATAAACAATAAAAAAGAAAATAAAATATTTTGCACTGAAAAATTTTGTTATTTCCAAAACTTTCTCTAGGTGTCCAACATACATTAGGTGCAGAGGAAAATCCAAGATCGAACAGCAACCCTCGTTCTATCTGTTTGTATCCAGATGGAGGCCACTCTGAGCCATGTTGAAATATTGATGTAGAAAACCTAGAAGAGTTTACTGAAGTGTTCATGTCTAGAATCTAATGCCAGAATTTTCATTTAGAATTCATGCATTCAGTACTAGATTTATAAAATTTGAATCCCAGAACGTATCCCAAATTAATTATTAATTTAATAGAATTAATAGATTTAGTTATATTTATAATATAATTAATAAATGTAAATCATACTTCATACCAATTAGTAAGACTAGCTCTACGTGAATGTAATAATAATAATAATAATAATAATAATAATAATAATAATATTAACAGAAAATTTTAAAAAATAGTTTATAATATTTTATCATTTTTTACTAATAGTTTTATTAGTTTGTAGAAATGATAAATTCAAGTGAAAAATTATTTAAATTAAAAATATTATTTTGAGTTTACGAAAGTTGGTTGAATAAAAATTGAAGTTGCCAAATGTTTGTCCTCCCCTGTTCTTTTTTTTTTGCTTATTTCATGCCTGAGGTACCGTCATTGTCATTCTGCCAGAAATGAAGACCTGCATATATTATTTGTTACTTAATGTGCAAATAAAGTATGAATAAAACAGATTTACAGAGAATTGCAATTACTGTTAGGTAATAATAAAATTAAAGATTAGTGAAGATGACTTACACTGAATGCATTTTTCCTCGTAGTGGTTTGCTAAGACAGACATTAAAACCAGTGGTCCTTTTTGATCCATAGCTGTATTCTGTTGCTAACTTTTCTCCTCGACCGAATAAGTTGGGCATTCGCAGTCCTACTACCACAGAACCTTCATTGTTTCCAACCAAAGTATTGACACCCCCTACAATTCTTTTTAATTCATGAACATGAAAGGTAACCTGCAAGAGAAACAAGAATATGAAATTGGAAATCAAATTTTGAAAATATAATTTTTTTAAAGTCTACACAAAATCTTCAAGCTAACAAACATCTAATCTTACCTCTAGTCCTTCAGGAGTTGAATCTGGCCCAGAACTTGTGTCAATGAAAACACCTATATTTCGGAAACAACCTAAAGCCTCCAAACGGGATCTAACTGTGTGAGCACCAACAATAACATCTTGAAAATCTTGAGCTTTGAAGAGTTCTCTAACTGTCTCGATTATGATATCATCTTTGGTTCTTCCCAAACCATCAACATGAATTTTATCAACTCGAGCCTGTAAAAAGAGGTTATTTTGTGTGAAATAATAATAAGGTCAATGTGAGACACAAATGGCTGAGTTCAATACAATTAAGATGCTTCCAAATGTTCAACAAAGTTATCAGTAGAAATAATGTAATAAAACTTTAAATAATTATCATTTCAATATCAATTAAATCAAACATTTTTCTGATTTTTTTTGGTGAATTTGATAAAATACATTCCTATCAAATTTGTCCCTACATTAAAAAAAAAATATTATAAACAATTTTCTTCACTAAAAAAAAGCAAGATAATTTTCGTTTGCTAGATATTTTAGTACCAAAAACAATTCTAAATCGCCCTTGAAAGACGTAATTTTTTATTTTAATATTGTACTTAAGAAACATTTTCACATCCTGTGCAGATGCACTTGGAACCTTAAGCACCTCTCTGACCTAGAGCTCTTTCCCTTAATGTCCCTCATTTTACATACATATTTTATTTTAGGTACATACCGTTTATTATCAAGTATTTTCCGAAGTATTTATATATTGATATGTCTTTAACACATAAGATTTAAAAATAAAATAAAATGTTACATTCTATTCTATTCTCTCACATCCTGGCTGCTCGAGGTACCGTTGGCCCATCCCAGCTCTATTAAACTGGGTTTGGAGAGAGATGGATGATTGGGAGCTGGTAAAGAGGTATGTGGTGTTGCGTAATGGCTACTATGCCACAAATATATAATGGAAGCACTGTACCAACAACGCTACATAGAGTAGCTTTTATATTTTTAATTAAGTGGAGAATGTCCATATATATTCAGAAGCAAAATAATATTCAATATTTTTGTTATGTAAAGGTAACTTTCAAAATTTGTTAAAGTAACTATCTTAACTTTAATGTAAAAGGGTAATTTTCCCTATATAATTTAGGAGTTATAATAAATTATTCTAATACGTGTGAAGTTTACTATTTTGCTTTATTGAGAAGTCTAAAGTTAACATAAAGTAATAATTTAAGTTATAAAGATATATTTGATAGAAGGTTTTTTTCATTTATCATTATGACAAATTATTATATATATATATATGTGTGTATATATATATATTTTCTTTTTTTTGCTTTGGCCTTATCTTATAATTAATTGGATGGCTACTATCGCAATACAATACGTCAGGCTTTGTTTTTGTTATTCTGAAATTTGAGACTTACATTGATCATTCAGGATGTTTCAATTGTGTCTGAAGAGAAATGCAAAAGTTATGCATTTTAAATGTTTGAGTAAATGCATTTTAAGTTGATTATAGATAGATTGATTTATTAATATGCAGACAGCAAAACTCCTGATGATGCTTTACTTTTCATGTTCAATGAGACCATGCTTTTCTTTTATTTTTATTTTAAGAATATTGACTTTTTAATATGTGAAATGCCAAGAGTTCTTATTTTCCATGAGATTTCTAGTTACTATCATCATCGCCAGATTGAGCACAATAATCTGACATTTTATTTCAGGTGTTCTTCAGGATTCACACCTTGGTCCCTTATTATTAATCTTATTGTTAATGATCTGAAATTAATACTAAATACAAATGTACCTTTCTTGTTATATGCTGATGATATAAAACTATTTTCAGAAATTAAATCAATCAAGTACTTTAGCTATCCCATGTAATTTTAAAAGTTTGGTATGACGGTTGTTTCAAAACGTATAACTTAAACTTTCATTATTCAGTTATGATCAACTATTGGAATTTGTATCAGCATTTAGGGGAGTTATTTCTGACCCTACACTAAAATGTTCAATTCCTGCTGATAAAGTGGTATTGAAGGCTTGTTAAAAGTTGGGCTAATGATTTCACAAATCCCAAATCATTCACCTCTTTATACCTAATGTAGCTTAATCTAATACTGGTGTAAGCATCTTTAGTATGATTTCCAACCTCTGAGAATAATGATAAAAAATAGTTCAGTTCTACTTTTTATACAATTTAATTAAAAATAATGTTGACAGTATTTATCTTTTTATCAGAGTTGATTTGGAAAGTCCTTACAATTCATCATTGCAATAGACCCCAAGCTTCTTTTGAGATACCTCTAGTAAAGATAAATCACGTTCGTTACATGCTCTTATGGAAATATCATTACTTGAAAAGGATTTCAACATTATGATGAATTAAAACTCTCAGTCAATATTATAAGAAATACTCTTCTGAATGATTTTGCTTAAATATTGAGTATTTGATGTTATAAGTAATTTGTGTAATGCATGTATTTTACATAAAAATTTTCGTTTGGAGATCAGTTTGGGAAGAGGAATAGGAAAAGTTCTATAGACACAGGATATGCATTGAGCATGATAGAAGTAATAAAGAGAGATGGTTGGGATGTGATAAGTATATGACATCCAGATATATCAGGATATTTAAGAAAATTAGAATTCGGAGAAGACCTGATATCTGAAAGGTACAAGAAAAAAAGGAGTAGAAATAGAGTACCTAGATTTAAAATACGGAATGAAATGAAGAATAGAAAATACCGGAAAGAAGATTATATAAATTGGAGTATGTTTTTAAGATTAACATTATTGACAAACTTCTGAGTAAATTTTGTAGGTGGTAGGAAAAGTAGGGTGAAGACAGTGATGAATACAAAGGAAAATGTTGTGAAGCCAAGAGAAGGACAGAAAATTAGTAAGATATGTATTGTTTATGTATTCAATTTAAGAGTAATGTAATTGAAACCTTTAGATTAAATTGTACACAAGTTTAGGGAAGTAAGACAACGATAGTGAGATTAGCGAAATGTTATGATGCAAGAGAAGAATGGTAAGGAAGTAGGAAAGCATAGTCCATAGTTCTGTGCAAACATTCCCCTTCAAATAAAGGGAATTAATGTATGGTAAAAGAGAAACTAAAATTTTGGGCATACAATTTATGTGAAAAACAATTAAACAAATTTAATCACCATGACAATTCAATCTAACTTTTTTCATAACTATTAATTTTAACTTGTTATGAAACTTTCAAGCAAAAATGTTTTCGGATAATCATTAAAAGGAATAAAATCCTCTTTAACTGTAGGATAAAAGGTTCCTGTAAAATAGGAGAGAAATGGAAACAAGAGGTTTAAAAATGACTTAAGCCCTCTTGAATAGGAGGAAGTTTTGAGGAAAGAAAGATAAAATAAAGAATATATCAGTTGTATTTCGGGGCGGTTCCAGAAGCAAATTTTGGGAGGAGAAGTTAAAAATGTTCTGGTTAAATGTGTCATGTACTAGACCTTAGATTTTAGGACGAATGCCTATTTAATTCCTTTAGAACGTTCTGGAAAATAATTGCAAATGTTTGTGAATCATGAAAAAATAGATCTACTGAAAGCATCAAACTGTGCTCAAAATGTCCAAAAAGGGCGGTTGTTGTCTATTTAAAAATCTTTTTGCCTAAAATAGGCAGTTTTGAAGAATTATCATATATTAATTACTCATTTTTTATATTATGTTTTACTGAAATGCAAATGCTTTTCTCAATTTCCTGAAATGCGACTATTCCCAGATCAGATACACAAATGACTATACACCGAAATCTTATCCAACACACTCAACTTAAGGAGCTCTGCAAATCAATATTAACAGCAAGTTTCATGCACCTCAGCATGTACTTTTTTAGGCAAATGCACCCTTTGCCAATGAAGCTAATTATTGGCAGGTTAAGGCTTCTCATAGCAGCACATTGTCTATGCAATCCAGGCCAGGATCAACATAGGTCAGGCAAAAACCTAAGTTGGAAAGGCAGAGCTTAAAAAATAAGGCCCAAATCTTGAACTCCTAGAAAGGATCATTTTGAGTTTTGTGTGTGTGAATGGTTATGTTCCTGTGTATCAGCTGCATTAGTGTGAAGAGCAACAATGTTGTAACCAATTTTAAGTGCCTAAAAACATCACATTTCATTTCCAATAGTGCCTAATTTCATAATTATTATTATCTATTTTAGATGCCTAAATCATCGCTCTTTTGTGCTTAAAATTCCAAGGCCTAGTCATTACAGATTTGGTAAAATGTCACAGGCTACACTCAACTTGTGCTGCTCTTGGATTTTATTCCTTTTAATGAGAATTCCTAAAAAGATGAGAATCCACAATGTAACTCCAAAAAAAAGTATTGTTCTTTCATAATAAATTGAACTGATTCTTCTTTTTGGTGATTATATATATGCCTGTTCTACAAGTGATAGTGGTGCTGTCACTACTTACTCTAATTCCTTCCAATGTAACTCTTTTCTTCTGTGATCTATGATGTGAATCTTCATTCTAAGCATAAAAAGAAGTCCTATAGTTGTATGTAATTAACAAGCTTAATTTTTTAAATAAATACAAACTTCTTCTTTTTAAATACCTACAGGATTGGGATGAGTTTTTAGTTTTTCTGATCGGGGTGCATCACTTTGCTGAAAATACAAAATTGTGCATTTTAATGAAACTTGGCATGTTTACTTCCAACTAGAAAAATAATGTAATACAATTGGGGCTATAAATAAAACTTATTACATTCAAATACATACATCAATACATTTTTACTAACTAATTTTGATTCTAAATATCGAGATTCATTTTATATTTTTATATGACATCAGCATGTATTAAATAAAATATATGAATGCAATAAGATTAGTTGGTCAACACTTGTTCGTACATTATTACTCAATATTTACCTTTGCGTGAACAGTTCCCATTTTCAATCATAAATTTCAAACCAAATTGCATTATCCTATATTACACGTCACTTTTAATATACCATCCTATGAATTGCACAGCACGACATATTAAGTTCAATCCACAGATTTTCCTAGAAGAAAGTAAATTATGTATAAAATGTTATTTGGTCTCATACGAATGTCCGTGTATCTCATCCAATATTGAATCGTTCTAAACGGTCACAGGCAATACGAAGCAAATACACCTGTCTATGTAATGCTTATACACGCAGCCAATCAACAACTCCCCGTCTACCCAGTCTACTCTGACTTTGAGGAGTTTACTCGTCTACCATGGTCTACCCTTCCCAGCCTCCGATGTCTGAGAATCTATTCTCTTAATTACAATTATGACGTTGGTATTACCGTTTGTGACAAGTGTCGGCTCGACCAAGCCAACCATGGTAGCCAACATTCGCATTTTTGTGCGTTGGATCGGTTGACGTTAGATCCAACGGTGCTGTTTTTTGTGTTTCTGTTGAGAAGTTGGAGCCACTAAACCGGTTGTTCGAGCAAACTGACAAAACGAAATCCGAAATGCACAAACTTGAACAGTAGCAAAATCAAGCAGGGTACTTTTTGAGTGCTAGTGGTCGCCGTGAAATGTAAAAAGAAACGCATGGCGTTCTACAGGCTACATTGTGATACATATTACTCCGGAATCACGTTAGGAATCGTATAAACAGAAACACTGCCTCGAAAATACTTTAATAATTAATGTTTAATTGATAACCTTTGCCGGTTTGCCAAAATAATATCAATTTTTATTCCACAAACTTCAAGGTTGTGTTGTTAGGATTCATTCATAGTGGATAGAATTTGTATGTTATTTGATAACATTTAAATTGAATTGACTATTGGTATTAATACTGACTAGCTGACTTGCTGCAGAATGGTTAGGTTTTTATTGTAAGTTGAAATACAGCATTGTCTTCACGCTTTTTGAAGATAATTTTTTTAAACATAAGATATCTCTATTAATCATGGAATCTGACCCAGCACCTGAGAATGATACACAGAATGATGTGGAAATGGAAGAAGTGAGAAAAGTTGTGGAATCAACTGATGGAATTACTAAAACATCAGATGTGTTAAATGAAAAAAACAGTGAAGAAGAAGTACTTGAAATAGAGACACAAACAAAAGGGATCAGTAGTGACAAGTTTGAAAATAGATCAGAACATTCCATGGAGACTGATATTGAAAGAATAGATCCAGTTCCACAGGATCCAGTTGTAGAAGTTACGAAAGTTGTTGGCAAGCAAAGAAATGAAAAGTTTAATAGTAAGAGTTGTGTTGTATTGCCAGAAATTATTGATGTGGAAGATAAACCTTCTGCAAAGAGTGGTAAAGTAATTGAAGATATCATAATTTGTGATGATAATACATCAAAAAGGTGTTGCTGTAATTTGGAGTGTAGTAGAGTAAGAACACAATTTCAAAATGCTCCTCCTTTTGTACTAACTTACTATGGCTATAAGTATAAAAAAAGGAAAACACAAAAAGTGTGCACACCATGTTTTGAAAAAGCTGTTGAACACCAAGAGGTAAATGATTGTTATATATTGAATAGACAAAAAGATAATTTAGTTAATAAATGAAGGCTAAAGTTTTACCCTTATTATGAGTGCATTTAATTTTGTGGGTTACTCAAAATAGTTGGGAGAAACTGAAGTATTGAAGAAAATTGTGTGTTTGCAGATTTTCTCACTTTCCATCATCAGAACGTCTATCTTGTCATTTGCTAGTTGTAAGCAAGTGAAGTGACATTATCAAATTGCATTATAACCACCAATTTTTTAAAAATAAATAAAGTAAAATAAATGTGTAGAGAGTTAATTAGAAAATATTACTTTAATTTTCATACGTCTTTAATAGAACAAACTCTTTGTCAGTTGGAACTAAATGTCTTTATTTACAGCAATTGATATATGAATGCTTTTAATTCATAGAAAAATGTACTTATATTTAAAATAATTTTCAGCACTTGGCCTATTTGTTGATGGAACAAAAGCCATTGCTCACTGCAGAATTTCCAGAGAAATTTGACATAGAAGTTATATCCGATGAATCTGATGAGGAAGATTCCTTAAAAGGTATGAATATGTTCATGTTTGCTGTATTTAAATTACAGCATAGAATTAATGTGATATTATATCAACAAAAAAATTGGGTTCACTAATTTGTATATAAGTTGTTTAAATAATTTGTGTATATGTAATTTCTTTTTTCTGCTTGCCACTTAAATGAAAATATAGTGATGATGTACTGAATTCAGATATGTTTATTTTAGATATAGTGCACCAAAGCATTGTTTCAGAAAGTACTCAAACATTTTCTTGGAACACAATTTCTGAATTTCAATAATAAACCTTCTTAAAATTCTAAATACAATCACTAAACTTAGGTAAAGCTGAAAGTCTTATTTCAGAAAACAGACCAAAAATTCATAGTCGTCTTCTGTAAACAGCAAAACCCCCTTTATAAGAGGCACTGGTGGGAATAGAATTTTGTCTCTTACAAAATGAACTTTGATAGATGGAAAATTGTTGATACCCAGCTGTTCTCAGGAATATCTTATTCAGGGGTCTCTAACAAGGTCTTCCTGTATGATGCACAAAGGAGAGAGTACAGTTTTGTTAGCCACCGTTGATTAAAAACTTTATTAAAGGACCATTGCTGAGTAAGGAGTTACAGGGTGCATCAAAGAGATTTAAGAAGAAAAATGTAGAATTTTGTTACTGTGCTATAAAGTAGTGTTTTTCAAACTTTTTTCTTCTGTTTCTCTCTTCTGGTAACAAATTCTGCACGTCTCCCCTCATTACAATTACGTTATTTACACCAACTACATATTTTTCCTGAAAGTAAGGTCATCATGTATGCTTTTTATTACATATTTAGTGTTGTGTCTTATGGATGTTGCAGATCTTCCACTAGGAAAGGATTTCTTACTGGAATTTGATGAAGACCTTACAGGAATGATTAATGAAAGCATAGAAAAATACAAGCTAGATTTTCAAATAAAGGAAACTGATTCCATTTTGTCTACAAAATTTAATGATTTGGATGGTAATGTTTTTATAAATATAAATGCATGTTTGTTTTCCCTGGTTTTGAGATTGAAAGACACATTCTAATCTTTTAGCGTTTGTCATTGAAACTTGTTTTTGCCTTATTCATCCTTTGAACAATTCATGTTGGGATCATAAGTTAAAGGAAATAAAAAATGTATTTAACAAAAATTCATCTTCAAACTTTGTTTTTTGTTTCCAGTAAACAAAAATACAAAAGTTTAATATTTCAATTAAAATAATGTAGTTAATTCTGATTAATGATGCAAGAAAATTTATTCATGCCTTACCTTATTCTGCTTTCTAAAAGCAATTGAAATGTTATAAAGAAGGAAAGAAAGAAAGGAACAATCTTGAACATTGCAGTGTAAGAACTTTGGTATTGCTGACTAAAAATTGTGTGTGTGCTATGTTGTGTTATCTATTTATGCTGTTCTTTGTTATTGAAATAAGATTCATGTTTATAGGTCATGTAATGAAAGATTAATTCTTAAAACTTACTGTCTATAATTAGTTTTATTTTGCAGAAGAATTTTTAAAACTAGATGCTACTATTGATAGCTTACAAAAACAAGTTGATGATATTCGAGCAGCCGTTTACAAAGGATGTTCTCCGAAAATAAAGGTATGAATTTAACTTTAAACGAACTATTAGCACTTCTTTCATTAGTGAAGGATTTCTGTTATTAAATGCTAAGCATTTTATTTTAGAGCTTGTATTTAGTTAACGAAGTTTGATTTGTTTATTTTATAAACTATTTGTTTATTTGATAAATTATTTTTGTAAGATAATATTCATTTTATTCTGCATCTAAAACAAATTTCAGTGTAGGAAAAATATTGTAATTATCTGTTAAGTATGAGAATAATGGGATTTTTTATTAGGAATTACCAGCAGAGGAGATAATAGATGTTCCAGGAAGCCCGTCTGAAAGGCGGTTTAAGATATTTTCGCCCTCTATTACATCTTCTTATGTGTCTCCTACAAAACGGCCATATTCAAATCCGTCACTTCAAGAAAGCCCACGTCGCCCTTCTTTAGGTATTTATTTTTAACTATATTTCTTTAATGTGTGGGTGAAAAAAGCTGATACTTAATTACACATTTGTCACACTACATTTATGCACCAGCTATACTTACACCTACTACCACACTAAATTTTCTACTGCATTAGAGCATTATATTGGAACAATGGTTACATTGTTTTCATCCCCATCCATTTATAATTAAAATGAATGGGAAAGTGAGTCAGAATGCCTAGGGAGTTGAAATTTTAAAGTGAAAAGTTCTTTGATTTGTGCTTTCTTAGTGATAATTTGGTATAATATATTTTGGAATGGTCCATTTGTGATATCCCAACCTTTTTTATAATAAAACTTGTAGCATTAAATCCTTCAAATGTATTTTGTTCAAAGTTAGATTTCAAATACAATCATGTTCTTCTGGTGGTTCTAAATGACCTCCCATTATTTAGTAAATATAATTTATTTTTTCATACCTTTCCTTTTGATTTTGAAAATCTTCATGTTTCTGAGATTCAGTGTAAGAGCCTCATCTCATTCTGTGGAGATTTTCTTGGTACTTTACTGGTACATGCGGATTATTTATTTGAAAGCACAGTAGGAAGAAAACAATCACAAGGAATTCAAGAACCTTAGGAATGTAAGATTTTTAATTTCAAGAAAACTTTTAATTAAACTACTATAGGAATTTTTTACGTATTGGCCTGTGGTAATAGAAAAAAATTATTCACTTGCTTCAAGCGCTTTGAAAGGATCAAACAGCGTTTTTGATGAGAATAGACAACACACTTTTAAAACACATGACTCTCCTAATTTTCAAAATCCATTCTAAAAAAATTACGTTTGTAAAATATATGTTGCGTAAACACTAGAATGCCCAGAGGCATCATTTTGCCTTTGGTGCTCTTTATGTCCTTGTAACTTCGTTTTTGAAGATAGGATTTTGTGATTTTGTGACTTATCATATTCACTTATTTACAGTATGTTAAAATTGGAATTGTGTTAAAAGTATATTTCATGAATAATAATCGAATTTACCTAGAACATCCATGTTAATTCTACTCCTTGGACACTGATTCAATCTTGTAGCTCCTGTTTCATATATTTCAACATTTAATAAGTTTAAATGTGCGTCTTTGTATTTTGGATACCTTCTAAACAAATATGAGAGCATTCCTTTCGGTTTGGCATTGTTTTATGGTCTTATACATTCAAAGTCATGAATCATGAGATGCTTCGTCATGGTACAGCAAATACTTCACTGAGTTTAGAAAATCAAGTTATTATCACTTGAAAGAACAGCATTGTGATATCTTCAAATCATTCAGATAAATCAGTTTTCGAGTTTGGAACATAATTTTTTGTAAAGGAGGGCATTTCAGACTCCAGATGGTGAAGATGTATAGGTCATATAAATTTGTTTATTTAGTCTGTCTTGTGTCATAATTTTCAAATAAGTAAGAGAAGTTTGAGAAAACCATAATGGTTAATTTCTCTAATTTCATGTGAAACAATCTTTTTCTTTTATGTGAAGCTATTTATTTACAAACTACCCATATTATATGTCAGAGGAACCAAGTTGATACAGCAGACTTTTTCCTTCCGAACTGGATGTACTTACAGATTTTATGGCGTAAAACTGAATGAAAACAGCAAAGAATTGTGACCTGTGAGGAATGATCTCTAAAAACATATGTGTCAATGTTTTTTCATACTTTGGAAATATGGAAATGGGGATGTTTTGTGAAAAACTAGAAGAAACTTCTAAAAAATGTAGCCACGAACCATGCATCAGGATATGAAGCAGGTGTCTGGATAGTATTCTATAGTGTCAAACATCTGGACAAAATGTGCTTGACAATTGTGGTTAGCACAAGCCAATAACAGTTTGAATCACTGTATGTATTTTGTACTGGTCGCAAAGTAAAGTCAGTAATGTAGAAAATAAATACAATGAAATCCCAAATGAGAACTAAGAGCCATTTAGAACATGAAATTAAATTTCTCTTAGAATTTTTATGTAACACATTCCAAGTTCCTATCGGTGTGAAACCATAAATTAGTCACATATGTTTGTTTATAATAAATATAATAAAATTAGTTGCAAATATAAATGAATTTGACACACTGCAAGAAAGTATAGGAAGTGAATTGCAAAGAAAATATATTTTTGAAACATGTGTGAAACTGGTATTACTTAAAATTTAATGTTTATAAAATGTTTCTATTGTGATTGTTACAGAAATATTACTCATGTATAAAAGTTTACGTTTCAACATAATATTTTGTATGTTTACTTACACATTCGGGAACAAGATGTTTGTTTAACTTCCATTCTGAACAATAATGACATTAAACATTTAAAATATATTTAAATTGAGGTGAAATACTACTTTTCTTCACTAAAAAGATATTTTCAAAAATGTTTCAGTAATATAGATAAATATTTTTGCAAAATTTCTTTTTAGTAAGTATCATTCAAGGCTGGGAGTCGAAATGACTCCACTGGGCATTCTAGTGTTAAAGATGTTTGTTCATTGGCTAGTCTTGTGGCTTTGTCATACAGGGATTTCGTAAAAGATGTAAGAATGAGCATGATAAGCTGTTGTGGTCCCAGGGTGCTCCCTGAACCAAGGCTTCATAAGTGAGAAATAAGAATGATCAGAATGCATTATTCATTTTGTAAATACATAACATGGTTTTGGGTAAATTAAGTGTTATAATTTCCTCTTGCCTTCATCTTTTATTCTTTCTTCTCCTCCTTAAACCTCTTACTTTTGTACTCCTTCCTCACCTTCTTTGTCTTCCTCTCTTCTTATGACTTCAGTTTCCACTTCCTTCTCTATTTCTCTCTTTTTTATTTCTATTGATTCCATCCCCTTCTTTCTCTCTTGTCTCCCTCTATGTTCCTCTCTTTCTCTGTCTCCTTGTTCTTCTCAATTTTCTTCTTGTCTGCTTCATCTCTTCTTTCTTCTCTTGCTACTCCTTGTTTTTCCAGTTAACATTAATGGCATGAGATAATTACAGGAGTTTCTGCAACATGGAGCATATTAACAAATTAAAGTGAAGTGAGTTGTATAAGCAGTTGGAGCGATTCATAGAACTCCGCTAAATGTATTTGACCGATTCCTCGATTTATAATAATTGTGGTGCAGTGCTGCATTATTTCTTTTTACTTTCCCGAATACGTACAGAATCATATAGAAAAAATTATGTAAAGCTGCATGAAAAACAGCGGATTTTCGGCAGAAAATTTTTTTTATTCCCGGGCCCTGATAATGAAAAAGTGGATAAATCCAGTTGCGTAATTAAGAGAAAAAAAATCCTTGAAACTTTGAGAGAGTGAAAAACATTCTAACATTCTTTAAAATTTGGATGTACTTTACAAAATTTTCTCAAAAACGACTCGAATATTTGTATTTTTTTTTAACATTTTCTTAAACTCTAATCAAAGTAAAGTTAGATGCAACATAGTTCTTCAAATTAATATTTCCTGTAAAGAAAAATCATACCCGATTGCAATAAATTCTCTAATGACAAGCCCTTTTTAACGAAACTTTCTAAATAACAAATACAGCATTGAAGGCTTTCATGGCCGGAGCCCGGAAGACATGAAGAATATATAGCAAATTAAATTGTGTAGCCCCATTATTACTCTCCTAAGTTGGGTGTTTTCCTCTCTATGTAACAAACTTTGCCTTCTAGTTTGGAAATTTGTTTTCAATCACCCCTAATTTGCAGCTATAATAAGTATCTCTAAGGTGCATTTGCTTGCACATGACGTAGTAAAAAAATATAGTACATTTTTGTTCCTTTCTCAGCTAAGAATGTGATGTGCTTCCCAAATGAAATGTGCTGATCACATGACAAAAATTGACATTTCCTCAGAAAAGAATTCAGAATTTACAGATTATTAATTTAACAACTCATAAATCAGACTTTTCAACTCAAAATTATTTAAATCATATACATTATAATAATTACAGGGATAACTGTTTACATAATTTTTTGTGCAATGTAAATAGGCAAATAATTTCTTTAAAAAATTGTTGATAATTTGTTCAGTGTGAATGGTAACTTCAAAAGTTTGGTTAATGTGTGTTTATTAATAATCTGTAAATTCTGAATTATTTTTGGAGGCAACTCCAAGAAGGAAGATACATGTGATTATTTTATAAGTATTTGCCAACAAAGGCAGCTCAATCTTTTATTTACCTAAATTTCCTTTTTGTATTTTTGCTAAATTTAGACAGGTCCTTGAAAACCACTCACAGGTATGTAATTCAAACCCAGCTGGTCTCTACCTAAACTGTCGAGAGTTCATATCATACTGATTGTGGACACACAATTTTTGTTACTCTTGTAAAATCTTCACAAAAAGAATGAGATGGTTTTGATTGAAAATGACTTATTTCTTAGAGAAAATTTATTTAATTTACAAGAAGATGGTTTAAATTGCATATTTTGTAGTCATTTATGTTTGCTGTTAGGCGAGGTAATGATTTCTCTATGACAATGTACATGACTTTTACTAATGGTTTGCAGCTGGAGTTGCTACCAAGAAAGTCACTCAAGTTCAGCGATCTGCTTTTCCTGGTCTTCCGCAGATTGAAGTGGTAAGAAAAAATTGTTTAGTGGGTTGCATTTTATTTACTAGGCTGTCCGGGTGACGCCGCGTCCATGGCGAAGATGCCTCGCATGCGATCGCATTACGCCCTGAGGAAGGTTGCATAATGGCGACCGAAACGTCGGCACCTTCGCCATGGACGCGGCGTCACCTGGACAGCCTAGTAAATACTGACTCCGGCCGCGGAAGCCTACGCTCCCGGATTGCATTTTATTAATCTAGTGTTATTATGAGTATTAATTTATGCAAGAACTCTGTTAGTAGAACTATAGTTCCCTTTGTTGATTTGTTGGAAAATAATTGTAATTTTATGTCAGAATTGTTGCTTGAGGTATTCCAATTTGAATGATTAATTCATTGCATGTTCTTTTATATTTGGATCTCTGTGTTCATATTGGAAGGCTTACAGTGATGTTGACATTTAATCAAAATATATAGGTTGTGCAAGTCAGTGTCATTCCCACATGTGTCTCTTATTTTATTTATTTATTGTTTTTTTGTATAACAATTAAGGCATTTTTTTTGTATAACAAAAAATAATACAAAGATGATTTGCAAGGATACAAGATTCTGTGTGTGATCCTGAAATAACCATACAAAAATATATAACATTCAAATAAAGTAATAAGTCATTTTTGTTAAAAAACACCCACACGCACACACACACACCCAGAATATACAAAAGTAATGCTATTGTAACTATTAAATATTTGTTAACATAATTTTATGAAGATCGAGTAAATGCCTTAATTGCATTTTCATCAAGTTCAATGAGCCAGGATCACAATAGTTTCCTAAATTTAGGAGTAGTAGATTAACAATTTTTCAAATCAAAACTTAATACATTAAAAGTCTTTCTATTAACATATCTACGATTAGCTGTTGCTAGTTTGCTTATTCGCTGGCAAAGGAGGTAAAATAGCACGTCACAAAATGAGTTTTTTAAATAATATTTTCAAATTCTTTTTTTGTGTATCAAATGAGGTTGCTATCATTGGCTCCTCTCCAGGTGATAGTACCGTAAGTAGCTACAGATCAAAACAGTGTATGGTGCTTAACTAGAAGTTGTTTAGTATTTAGTATTATCCTTAATTTGTTAAAAACATAAATAAGATATTTTATTCTGTTAACGGTATTGTCTATATGTGCTGACTATTGCAAATGAGCATCTAAAAAGACTCCTAATTACTTTGTTTTCATCGCTCTAGATATATCTAGGCAGTTACAATTTAGTTTATCACATTATTTGATGTGAATCTTTCTCCTCTTTAGTAATGGTCATGTAATACTATTTGTACTGCAAATTCTTTCAGAATCAACACATCTGGCATCACTTTTTTTTAAACGCATTACAAATCGTAGAACATTTGGTGCGAAACTAAATATTTTCAAGCGAATATCAACACAAATTTGACAATTATAACTGCTTTTCATACAGCTTAATCATGTCTCAACAATGCAACATAATTTCCAGGAATTCAGCTTCTTTCTCACAGCATGGAATGTCATAGTTGCATTCCAATCTGATATTCTCTGAAGGCTACCAATTTTTCTTGCATATATTTCAAATAGGATTTCTAAAAGATTGTTTTGTAATTGTGTAATAAAAGCTTGAATGTAAGAAACAAAGAAAAATAAAATAATAACAAATCCTAACTTATATAGCATCCATCCGCCTGAATCACCGTGTTACATTCATGAAGCACAGGAAATTCAGAGCTGGCTACTATGTTTGATGCCAGATTGCACAAAAAATAATCATAATTTCGAAAAATTCAACAAGACCTTATGGAGAACTGTTTTTGATGCACACATTTCATTGAGAAAGAAATTATATCTTCATAATTGTAAAAATAGATGAAAAAATATAAATTTTTAAAATTTTCAAAAAATTAGAATTATAATGAACATGAGACCTGCACTATTCTCTTAAGCGTCCGTTATATTAGCTAAGGTCCAAATTCAATCAACAAATTGTATGCCATTTTTAAGAGAAAATGGTTTAAAGAAAATAAAAATCATCTATGTTTGACACAAAATACATTTTGAAAAATTGAACATGACTATTTAAAGATTTCGTCTCAACACATTTTATCAAGAAAAAAATGTTTATCTTCAAAATTGTAATTTTAGGAAGGCAGTGAAAAACATTAAATTTTTGCAATTTTCAAAATTCAGAATATTTAACAAACTATGACCTCCTGCACCATTCTCTTAAGCGACGTGTGGTCAAAATTTAATGAAAAAAATTGGTGCCGTTTTGAGAAAAAAAAATTAGAGGTAGCCTGTATTTCACATATAATTTCACGAAAAGTCCTCAACTTTTGGAAAAATTGTCGTCCTCATTTCAAAATCAATCTTTATGGAATAAATTTCATTATGGGGGAAAATCTCTATCTTTATTATTTTAGTTGTAAGAAGACAGAAAATTTTAAACTTATGCAACTTTCAAAAAATTTGGGTTTTTATGAACCTGAGACCTGCATTGTTCTCCTAAATGTTCTTCACACTATCCAATAACAAAGTTGAATAAAAAATGTTGTAGCCATTTTTTTTTTTAAAAATGTTCCAGGGGCTTTATGTAAAGTACCACCCAAAATTAAAATATCAATTTCGAATTCAAGAAGGCACCCTGACATCAGTCTGATCAATGGAAGAATATCAGTTATGGTGAAAATCAGAAGATTGGTTCAGCCACTAGCAATGTTCACAGTGAGATGTTTTGTTGCCAAACGATTTTTCAGTATCAAGGACCCACAAACATGGATTCTGGCAACACCATATGTTAGAAGATTTTATTTTCTAAATTTAGCAACTGGAATTATCCAATTTTTCATTACTAGGGCCTGGCCAATAATAGTTTTTCTGCCGAAAATTCACTGAAAATTTCCCTTCATTACTTAACTTTCTCTCTACTGTGTAAGTGGTAGCAAGAAAGTTAAAAGTATGGGTCCAAGGACAGTTCCCTGAGGAACTCCACACATCACAGTTCTCTGCTCTGATTTTAAATCATTTATTTTGACAACTTGATTTCTGTCCTCTAGGAAGCACTCAAATAATTTAAGTACAGTACTTTCAAATCCTAATTTATGTAATTTTAATAACATTAGATTGTAATTAACTAGGTCAAAAGCCTTCTCCAAGTGTAGAAATGTGCAGTGTATACGTGGCTCATTTCTATCAATCACATATCTTCTGATACATTTTATTGATATGTGAATGTAAAAGATTTCGAAGAACTATAATGAAAAGAAAACTAGAAATTCAAGATGGAAAAGAAGTAGTTGATTTCTTTGTGATAAATTCACTGAAGCTACCCTCTTAATTAATTTAAATATTATTATTTGTTTTTCATTGTCATTTTTTGTTGTGGAAAATTATTTATTATGTATCTTCAATTTCGGGATGACCAGCAGGAACATCAATCATTTGTTTGGGTTGCTAAAGATTACTTATAGAATATAAAACAAAGGATGTGGTATATACTTCTAAACATGCTGGAGTTAACCATTTTTGTTATTTGTATAATTTCTATAAATATGTTCAATTTCAATTCAACTCAATGGTTTAGTTGCCACTTTATTAGCAATTTTAAAAAAAATTAAAAAATGAAAATTAATTAATTATAAATAATTAATTCAAAAGTAATTAATTAATTAATTGAAATTAATTAAAAAATAAATTAATTAAAAATTTGTTTCCTAGAATTTTGGGATAAGAAGTTACTGATTGGTTGCTAAAGAAAAAGTATACAAAAATTGTAAAAAGCCCTTATGTTGATGGCTGCAGAAAATTATTTTCTTCTGTTTTTGCAGAGATTACATCTGAATTCACATAGATATCCCCAAAGCTTGATATCTGGCAGAAAGCGATGGAACAACATTCTGATACCTCAGGAATAATTATTAAATTTTGTTATAAATATATAACTATTTCTATTGAATTAACAATTAATTTGGGGTACATTCCAGGACCTAAAATTTTATAAATTGAGCACTGGATATATTAAGTAAACCTTATTTTAAAAAAATAGTTAAAAGTAGAATTATAGGGTACAATTATTGAAATAGGAAATTCAACAATCTTGTGCAGATTTGTAGTGGAATAGTTTTATGAAGTTATTAAAAAATACCAGATAAAGAATGACATCCAAAAGTGAAAATTTTCTGTAGTCCTCTTCCTTGTTTGCAACCTGCAAAAAGTATAAGTAGTATGATTTCTTGTTGGTTAACCAACCAGTATGTAGAATATGAACTGTAGCCCTGTTTGTATGAAAATAACGAAATCAATTTGACAAAATGTTCAACGAGTCTGAGTTTTCAACTACATCAATCATCACAGTTCCAATCTCTTGAACTGCAGATGCCTGTTCAACAGCAACAGCAACAAGAGATTGTGGCCCTGGAGCCTATTCGTTTGGTGCGCCCCACTTTGCCTCCAGTTGGAGCATTAGTTCGGCCAAGGCCTGCTGTGCATGATGTACTGTATGTCATGAGACATGGATATTATGGTGTTTGGGCACGAGGCAAGATTCTGGAAGTTTTACCTAAGATGGAAGTAAGTGTTTAGTGTGCAAGTAATATATAGACATCGGATGTTTAGAAAAAATGTCAATTTTATTGTAATGAACAGATTTAAAGGCTTTGTGCTCAACTTATGAAAAGTGAACTTTTTTGATGAAGGTTTCTTTTCTCCCTGTAGTCCTGTTTTTGCACTTGATCAGGTCATGTTTTAGATTTTATGACCCTCTCAGCAACCTGCACATATCCTCTTGTACACATCTCTTCCCATTCTTATTTTGCTGTCATATTTTGGAATGGAATCCTTCCCTGCTCAGCTATCGAAGGTGGTGCTGAGACCCATCTCTGTCTGGCACTTGTCAGACAGGATGTATTGCTGAGGCACCTCTGGCCCAACTCAGCGTATGATGACCAGTTAGGTGGATGGTACCTATATTTGGTGTGAGTAGGAAGTAGGTTTAGAGGGTGATCATGATGGTGGGGTTGATCCCACTGTCCCACAACACTTGTGACCTATGCAAGATTCAAACCCAGAGTCCAGTTGAAATGCATACTTGGTGTTAAAGCCTCAAACCTCTGTGCCACCCAGTCCGGTGGGAAATGAAAAGGAGATGGTTGAAAGGTAATACTTGCTGAGGAATGCTCCACCATGCCAGAACAGACTAGTAAACTCATTTCTGGGGCACGAATTTGGACCTGTGACCCTTCAGTCTACCAAGGATATCTGTCTGAGCAATTTTTGCTATCCAGCTTGACCCTTTTTTGCCTATTTGGGCATTAATGCTTTTTGAATATATTTATCTTTTTAAATACTTTTTTCTTAAATTTCAATTGGTGACACTCATTCTGATCTTTGTTAAAAATAATGGTTACAACATTTTCAGTTCTTAGATTAGCTGCCTATCGGTAGCAAACCTCCATTTTCATGTGTAGATGTAGATATGATTTGTGTTAGGATGACGTATTTTGTATCTTTGGAACGCTAATGCTCACATCTTCACAGATATTTAATAATCTCTGCTAATCCAAAGACTTAACCCTCTAGCGAGAACACAACAGCAGCATGAAATGAAAAAAAAATAACTCTTGTTCAGTGGACGTTGTTTCAGGTCAGCACTCCATTTTGCACATTCCCATTCATGGAAGTAAAATTATATACATATAAAAAGTACGTGATGTATGTTGTATACAATATATTATAAGTTAAATAATACTAGTGGACCCAGCAATGCTTTGCAATTGCTATGTATTACACTTAACACGTTACTGATCACGTGATTGTTAATCTCATTTAATGTTACATTCTGCAGACGTTCTAATAGATGATAGGCTTTGCACAACTATGGGTTTATTCTATTTCCTGGTTTGGACATGGTTGTCAAGTATCCTATTGTTAAAACATTCTCCCTCAAGTTTGTCCATGCGTTCGCTGTGAGGCTGTCTTGAAGGGAAATTTGATTTGCTTGACTGAGATCAAGTTTTGACTGATATTTAACAATTGCACTGCTAGACATGTAGTGTGGCGGATTGCGTAGAGCTTCTGTTAAGGGGTGGTTGAGTCGATTATAAATCATCATCAACGAATGTCCCTACATGTCTGATTTAATTCTAACCACTCTTTAAACACTTCCAATACTAATGAGATCAAACTGTGAAGATTGCAGCAAAAGCAGGTGAGGAGTTTGTGCATCTGCATGCCACAGACGTGCATTTTATTTATAAATAGGTACATATAACATTTGCAAGTTATACTTACACACTCAAACTCATTATAGTTGTTCAATTTTATTTGAATACATAACCTATTGCTTTAGGGTGACGTGCACTCAGTAAAAGATGTTGCCATATCTTCATTTCTTTTATTATTTTTTAAACATTCAATTTTATACAAATGGGGTAATATCAATGGAGAAATATCAATAGAAGAACTGAACACAGTTGGATGAAACAAGTACTTTAAAATGAGACTCCCACTATAAGAGACCTCAAAGGTAGATAGTTGGTAGTTCTGGCTGAAAGGTACTATGGTCATTTCGTTCTCCATGGGGAGGAGAAAGAAATAGAATATCACTTCCTTGGACAAATTAAGAGAAGTACTCAAGAAAAAGGACTAAGTACAATAGTAATAACATGTATGACCTGGAATGTTCAAGTGATCATTAATACAATTAATATGGACATCCTTTGTATATTTGAACAATGACATTATAATGCTCATTGATACATTCTTAAGGAAACCGTAGAATACTTCAAAGTTTAATGCATTACATGTACTCGCAGAACAAGCTACATTAGCAAGACCCAAGGGCAGAAATCATTTCTTGAGTCCAATGCTCTCCCCTTTCAAAACTGTACATAGAACTGATAATGTGTCAACTCAAAACAAAGATTATAGTATTATGTGTGCCTACTTCCAACCAGAATTTAATGAAAAGGAAATAATAAATGAAATTGCTACCTCTTTAAACTGACTATCAATGGATGAGACAATACTATTGGCTGGAAATTTAAATTGTAGGATAAAAAAGAGATAGATAGAGGAGATAAAAAAAAAAGAAGGAAAATAACAACAGAAACACCCACCCATACCCTCCAAGCAAAAGTTGGCCTATGCATTTCTCTAATTTCTTGAACAAAAACATTCATATTCCAGTCCATCTTTCCTGGAGGGATTTGCACTGCGTCAACTACAAGGATTCATTCCCTGCTTAATTGTTTGCTCTGTATTTCATTTCGTAGTACTCTGAACCAGACCCTTCTTCGGTATATTGCGGTCATGACAAACACAAACTTTCAAAATGTTTTCCTGTAAAATTTCCTTAGATTTTGATAATTTTGTCATTCTGAGGCCACATTTCATCATATAATTTGCTCAACAAGGTTTTATGAATTCATTACTGTCCCTGTTATATTGTTTTGTATGATCTGCCAATTTACGAGGTATAAGTGCAATGATGTAATTCTGCTTTCCCACCCTCTAATTTTTATTGCCTTTTTTCTACTTTTAAAATATTTGTTAGTGCCATTTTAGGTGCCTAAAACCCAGGTTTTTGGGTACCTTAACATCCGATGTCTAGTAATACATGATAAAACAAAAATACATTGTTGATGATGATGATGATGATGATGATGAAAATGATGATGTTTTTGTAGGTCACAGGATTCAGTAAAAGTGAATTTGTTTACAAAGTTAGATTTGAGAGTCGTAAGTCAAGTACTGTAAAAACCGTAACTGGGAAGCAACTTGCATATTCAACGCCTAGTCCTGTTAGATTGCCAGTTGGAACCAGAGTCATTGCCCTCTTTCGGGATGAATGGGCTAAAGAATGTTACTATGCAGGCATTGTAGCGGAGCCTCCCAAAGCAGTCAATAAATTTCGGTCAGTTTTTATGTGAAACATATTTTTGCAGTTTTTTTTGTGTGAACTAATCTACATACTTAATTTGTTTATTTTATCTGAACAGATACCTTATTTTCTTTGATGATGGTTATGCTCAATATGTTGTCCATGAGAAAGTATTACTAGTTTGTGAATCATCATCCAAAGTTTGGGAAGATATTCACCCAGAATCAAGAGATTTTGTTCGGGGTTATCTTGAACAGTATCCTGAACGACCAATGCTTAAATTGCAACAAGGACAAATTGTCAAAACTGAATGGAATGGTCTGCACTTTCTCTTACAATTTGTTCCATGATATTATGTCATAATTCAGTGTTACTTTATAATTCATTTTTTTAATGAATGGACAAATATTATGTTTTTAAAATGTTTAGAAATTATATTATGGATTTTATTCATTTTTGAAGGAAAATGGTGGATAGCAAGAGTTCTAGAAGTTGACGGATCATTAGTAAAGATGCACTTTGATGCTGATGGCCGAACAGAACTTATTTATCGAGGTTCGACTCGTCTTGGACCATTGTACTCTGAATTGCATAATGCTGATCGAAAGAAATTAGGTAGCTTTGGTCGACATAGGAGTATGGGCATTTCCTCTCTTAAAAAGGTACTGTACTATAGGTTTGAAGTATCTTTCATCATAATGCGATGTGACTGTTGTAAAATTAATACATTTTGCTTTCAGAGGAATATGCCTTATGTGGAATATACACGTACTGACATTGAAGACAACAGGCATGAAGATTCAGGAGGTATTGTTTCTTTCTTAACAATAACTTTTTGCCATTTATGGTATGGAGGTTGCTATGTATGTTTTGAGATATATTGTGTTGCGGTCCATTATTCTCTTTGCAAGAATGTGAATGATCGTAGTGACCTTTCGTAGTAATGCGTCCAAGTTGGAACTTGCTCAGTTTATCGTTATTGCTTAGAGGCCTTTCTTTTTATTGATGTGGTATTCAGTTGTCAGAATGGACGACTTGACAAGAGAGCACTTTTGTGCAATGATTCTTTGTGACTTTAAAAGTGGTTTAACCCTTCAGCGTAGTTTGCCGTCTGTAGATGGCAATTTCACTTCTCTTCTAAATGCGGTATGCCATACCTGGACGGGTTGGATTTTCCTTTACATTCGCAGTAAGCCGTATCAGGACGGAAGGGACTTTCACCGGTCTTTCATCTCATTTGTGGTGTGCCGTCTACAGACGCTGCTCGCTTAGAGGTGCCATGCACAGACAGTGTGTAACAGTGAGTTTTAGGTTTCTTTTCGTGTTTTAACACAAATATTTTTATATTGATTGAAGTGTTACTATTTCTATGTGGATTTTTTTAAAAGAAACAATTAATTTACAATACCTTATTTTCTGTGTGCTAGATATTGTATGAAATTATTGTGACTGTCAGACACACTATACATAAACTACTGAAATTGCCTTAAATATAATACAGCTATTGCTAAATAAGGGCCACACTTTATGGACAAACAATTACTACATCTCCCCCTCATTAGCTACAATATTTTTAAAAAATGGGAACAGATAGTGTAGGAACATTATGTTTGAGCAGAAAAAAATGTTCCTAAAATATTGCGGGAAAATAATTGAAGCAAGGTGAGTACATAGCCCAACACTTGGACGCCGTTACAATGTTGAAATGGATGGATAAAATAGCTGTTTCTATGATAAGGATGAATTCAAAAGAAATTATGAGAAGAAGAGAAGAAATTAAAAATGCTGTGTGCATTTTTTATTACAATAAATCTGTGGGAGGGGCAGATCTGAAAGATCAGTACTTGTAAATATATCTTATTGAAAGGAAGAAAATTAAGAAATGGAATATGAAATTGTTCAGATGATAATTAAATATCATTGTGTTGAATACATTTATTATTTGGAAAAAGAATCATACTGGGGCAAGAATCGAAATTTCAAATTGATTTGGTCAAGCAATCTGCTCATTTGCTTGACAGAAGAGCAGTATGAAAATCGTTTGGTGAGTGATTTACATTGCTTCTCAGCGAGACACTTTCTTGAAAGAATTCCACCCCGAGGAAACACAATTAACCAGAAACAATGTGTGGTATGTCTCCATAATGGGAGACATTGAGAGCCTACATTCTGGCACCCAGACTGAAAGGCAGAATTTGCCCTGCCACTTGTTTTAAATGCTACCATGCCATAGAAAATTATTAAGATTATTTGTAAAGAAAATTAGTGTACCTTGTTTTTAAGTATGTTCTACTCTTAACAAACAGATGTAAATGAATGAAAGTGTTGCACTGTTATTTTAATTTTCCATTTCCTCAAAGTCATTCTTATATAATCATTATCATTGTTTAACATATTATTGAAGAAGTGAAGCAATGCATTCTCAGGAAAGAGCACGTTTTCAGAGTTGAGAAGTGCAACGCCGCGTGAATTGAGACTGTCCCGCAGCAGGCCACGGAAGATGCGCTCAGCTTGCTATATCCCCCGCGGTGCAGCTGACCGCACCTTTCACTTAGAGCCGCCTTCAAATGCCACCGCGCTCACCCACGGCACCGCATTGAAGGGTTAAACGAATCTGAAAGCCTTGATCGTTTTCACCTGGCCTTCGGGGACCATGCGCCTTCCCGTGCGACAATTTTTCGGTGGTTCCAAGAATTCAGAAGTGTCTCTTCTGAACTTTGCTGAAAGAGGAGAGGAGCGGGCGTCCGGCGACTGCAGTGACTGAAGAAAATATCGTCGCCGGAGGAAAGTTGGGTGACATAGAAGTGCGCGAAAACCTGTGACTTTGAAAGGTCCCTATAGATTGGATCGCCGGGGTCCAAAATCCTGTATGAATATCTCGAGGAAAGTTGCATCTGTATGGGTGCTTCACATCCTTGTGGAATGGTGTGTAGAAATGTTTAAAAGATTTGAAAGAGGTAACTAAGCGCGTTTCTGATAGTTATTGATGAAGAAACGTGGATTTATCAGTTCGATCCTAAAAACAGACGCCAGTCTATTGTATGAATTTTTCCCGACGAATATCAATCAACAAAAGTTAAGGGGCCTCGCAGCAAAAAGAAGAAAATGGTTACAACATTGTTCTCAAAACACGATCACGTCACAACTGTTCCACTGGAAGAACAAAGAACTGTTACTGCTCTTTGGTACACAACAATATGCCCACCAAACGTATTGCCAAGCTTCAAGAATGGTGACCGAAGACTACTGCGGGGAATCGTCCTGCACCATGACAATGCGACCGCATACGGCAACCGCACAATTCAACAGATTCCTGGATTCAGCTGAGAATTTTCTTTTATAATAATAATATAATAATAACAATAATAATAATTGACAAAAATGTGTCAACATTACCAGCATTTCGTCAAAATATCGAAAATCAAATGTAAATCCTTGAAAATCCTCTCATTAGATCTTAGCAGTGAATTTTTAAAGAATATATCTCTTTCAAACAATGATAGGTAATTCATTGAATGAAAATAGTGATTAGTAAGTATTTTATAACGTTGCCAAATATGTGTTTTGCTGATTCTATCATTGTGAAGTTATACACAGTCTTCATCCATCTTGTCAATGTCATCAAAAAATATCTTCTACAAAAAATTTTATTTCTTGGATCTGAAGATGAATCTGCACAACTGCTCCAAAAATCTGAAAACGTGGACATTAAAGAAAAGAGAAATACATGGAACAAGTTTAAATGTGTGCATTTTAGCAACTAGGAATGCGGAAATTGAGTCCGCCATTTATGTCCCACTTGACTCTAATGGGTGAAACTAATGACTCACCCAACTTAGGCCCACAACAGACTAAACCGAGGAATGTGTGATGAGAAATGTGAAAAATCGAAACAAAGAGCACTTATCAACCCCCACGCACTTGAGTTTTCTCGTTCGCCTTTGCAGAGGTTGAAGAGTTCCTCTCTCGAGTAGGTCAGCAAGCGAGTTTTCTTGGATAAATTCCTTCATTTGTTCTATGACATTAAGGCATTCGTTGTCGAAGAAAAACACTAAATATAGAAACTTGTGAGGTTTTAAGATTGAACTTGGTGTGAGGTTGTGAACTTGTGCGTAGAAACTTGTGAGGTCATAATTTTAATTAGTAAAAGATGTGAATTGTATGAATTTTTCCCGACGAACATCAATCAACAAAAGTTAAGGGGCCTCGCAGCAAAAAGAAGAAAATGGTTGCAACATTGTTCTCAAAACACGATCACGTCACAACTGTTCCACTGGAAGAACAAAGAACTGTTACTGCTATTTGGTACATTTTTTTTTAATTTCTTACTTGAATTTTTCCATAAATGGAAATGAACTAGGAAAAACTTGTGTGGAAAATATTATTTCTTGTAAGAAAGCAGTACATAATGAGCAATATAAAAAAAATGATTTGAAGCAAGAAACTTGAAAGGCTATTTTGAAAGATTAACTAATATTTTATTTTTACTTAATTCACGTTTATTTATAAATTAATTTACTAATTGTGAATTTTATAATGAATTATTTGATCATTCGCCATCTATTTGTAATTCAACTTACAAATGTAGTAAAACAGACATGGTAGAAATATGAAAGCTTAAAAAAAGTTGCATAGAGACATAGGTTGTACTATTTCCCTATACGCCTCATACAGTTCCTTTTTTTACATTAAAAAATTATTTTATATGCAGTGCAGTAATGCATTTCTCTTTAGACAATTCGAACTAAAATAGATGATTTTCAATTATGGTAATATAACAAGGATTTCACAGGTAAAAATTACTTAAGAGCATTTAGTAAAGCAAGAAAAGGGACTCGCATCTTATCTCAGAGCTAATTGCGGTCACCACTCTTGGCTTGTGGCACATAAAAGCATTCGAGTCATTGAATGACTCAATTCTAGTGCGTGGACACAGCCTCACCGGCCTCTTTCCTCATTTCTCATCGCACATTTCGGGAAACATTCATCGGTGTAGTCTGTTGTGGTCCTTACATTCCTGACTGGACTCTATGTAATTATTTTCTGTTACCTACCATCTAAAGTCGCATGCGAGGAAGGTTTTCAAGCCCTGAAGAAGCTGTTGATGGGTACAAAAGTGAATTTTTAGCACTAGAAAAAATGTTACAAACGAAACATAAAAGAAGCAGAACAAATTGGTAACCGCACAGCACAAAGGAAGTATGATGTGGATGAAAGTTGCATTCGTGATTGGTGTAAGAACAAAACATGACTTAAGTCATTGAGCTACTACACAAAGTGTTGCCATTATACACAGCACCTCAATCATGTTGTGCTGCAGCTCAATCACGAATAGTTGGCAAACTTATGAAAACTTTCAATTGTTAGATTGGTAATTGATTTCATGAAATAAAGTATGAATGCTGCATATAGTCCCAATATGTAAAATGTATGTATTCGTAATTGAAATTTTTCATTGACGAAATAGTCATGCTATCTTATCTGGACAACTGTTTTTATTGACCATTGGGAGTGTATTTTTCTATCTTTCATCAAGCTTTCTTTTGACAGTGACTTGCAAAATATGTAATTAAATTTTACCTCTCTCATTGTTGTTAATATTTTGAAATGTATGGTAAGAGTTCCAACCGCTTGTC